GAGCGCACCCCAGCCAGCCTCGGGTTCCCCGGTGCTGGTCGTTCCCTCACCCAGGCGGGTAGCGGCAGCCTTCGTGCGCTGGCACCCACCGGCCTTCGCAGGGACAGGCGCGCGGGAGCGTATGTGCAGTGGAGGATTTTTAAGAAAAATCAGCACGAACCTGACTGATTCGAAGTAATGTTAAATAAACCACAGCGGGAATGAGGAGGGCCTTTTATTAGCAAGGGTTAGACAGACTTTTCAAATGCATTTGAGCACAATAACCTGTTTTGGTGCTACCAAATCAATACACCAAGAGGTAAATGAGGGCTCTAAAGGCTCCTGACTGGATTAATAATCTCAGGAAGAATCATGCAGTGATTCTCGCGCTGTGTGTTGCCATAAAATAGAAACAAAGCATTAGGCAACACAAACTTACTGAATTGCAAGAGATTCTCTTTTCAAGGAACAAAAGTCTTCCAATCACTGCTGCTCTAAAATAACAAATACAGATAGGAAAAGTTTTAAAAACCTGCTATTTGCCTGCTAACTAATCATTTTATAGCTAATAGTTTTATAAACTTGGACCCATATTATAATTCACGTTCTAAAACAGTTGTGGGGGAAAAAAAAAAACCTTTCTGAACAATTTTTTGATCTGGTTTGGGAAGTCCAAGTGCCACAATTCTACTTCTGAAAAAAAAAAAAAGTCTGGTAAGCACTTCAAATAAACATGCCTACATCTCCAGATAATTAATTAAATACATTTTAAAGGCACAGGAAAACACAGTTTAAATTTATTATATATCCTCTTTCACAACAGCGTTACAAAAAATATTTATTAAACTGGTATCATCTTACTACTGATATAGTAAAGCGACAAATCAGTTTAATAAATCATCATTATCCAATGGCTTTTAATAAAAAATAGTGTATGGAAAATGCTTTGTGCTTTTAGTTTATACTACTGGTTTTATCCCTTTCTTAACATATAAAAATCACACAAAAGTACCTAAACCCAGCATTTTTGCAAATGGTGAATATTGATACCCAGGACAGTTCCTGAAATAGAGCAGGTAGACCCATTCCTAAAGACGACTGCTTTAAACAGCAGACGTCACTGTTGTTTTTCAAGATAGCCCTGTATCAAGCCTTGAACCCGAGACAGAATAATCTCATTGGAGCTGCTGCACTCTTCTGGGCCGTACGGTGGGTCAATAGTTAATACCCCCGCCACGCACAGCGTTCTTCCCGATTCACCTTGCTCTGTTACGGGAATGTGGTTTGTTTCTAGCCAAGTCTTCAAGTCGTTCTTCCTCTTTTCAAGTTCCTCTGGGCTGTAGGCTTTGCATTCTTCAGGCGCAAATATGCAAGAAAGCCGTTGCTTCATTTCATCGTCCCCTTCTTTCAGTATTTCAACCTCCTGGACAGCATGGCCCAAGACAACTGATATGGACACTTTTTCATTCTCCAGGAACGATGCAAGGACAATACTGCCAAGGCAAGAAGGATGTATGAGTCACTGTACTTGACTGAAGACTGAGAAACACAGGCCAAGATTCTTGGAGATGAGTGCTCATTAGCGTCAGCCTAACCCAGGCATTTAGGCAATATCAAGTACCCAGTGTTTTCCTTGAAAAGCACGTTGCCATACCCTTAATATACTGAAAATGTGGGGCTTTGCAGGTAACTTCTGGCCTTCAACTTGAAACTACTCTAGATACTATCAAGCAGAACATTACTTTAATAAGGTAAAGTGTACATTGAAATCAGGGCTGGGAATCTAAGTATTTCTGTGCAGCATTCCCAACCTTGCTGAAGAACCTTAAGTCTTCCAACACTCAAAAACAGTGGTACCTTGGTACATTCAGCACTTTGAATGCTGAAGGCAATGGTGGAAGCTAACAACATCGAAACCTTTTAATGACAAATGATTAATATTTAGTTATTGATCATTACTAAAATCATATATACTTTTTTAAATGAGTGTTGCTAGTTTCTTAACTGAAAACTATAGCTTGAGTATTACAATGGGAACACACCGCAACAGGTTTAGGCTCATGTTGTAGCAGCCTGGTCTTTTCTCAAGGGCACTTACATCCCAGAAGTCCTAAAATACAGGTAGGAAGGCAGCTTGTTATGTTTCTAGGATCCCTTCCCTATATATCAACAAAGAGGATCAGAAACCATTTTCTTCCTCTTGTGGGAAGAAAAGTTCCAGAATTTGATACCAGCACTCTCCTAGTCTGCTGTTGCCACCATTAGCAGAGGTAATGACTTTTTGGGTAATGTGCAATGAAATATGCCTTGATTTTAGCCTAGGTCACCCCCAGAATCACTCACAGCCACGCGCACCTTTTCTACCAAAATGATAAGCAACTCTAAGAGAAGGTTAGAGTATCGGAGCTACTCCAGGGTTGAAGCAAGAACCAATTCTTCTGAAACACATCAGAAGCTAGATGATTTAGTTTCTAGCCTCCATCTTGTGCTCATGTGGGACACGCTCACAAGGTATGAAAAAGCTCTGGCAGCAAGGAACCAAATTTCTGCCTATTCCCTGGTGCATTCTGCCTTTCAAACCCTGTTTTCAAGTTACTCACTTGAGGCACTAGAGACCTGCAGTACCACTTTCTGTCCAATGCCCTGGCTGGTTTTCCCTGCTTCCTCTCCAAAGCAGCTGCTACACCATTGTGGTGTCCAGCTGGAGGGGAAAGCAGGGCATCAATGTGAGAACTCTGGACAGAGTAAGGATTTAACACCTAAAGCATTGAAAACATTTCTGCACTCTTTGTGAAGCAGGGCTTGGTATGTTGTTAAAAGTGGTCCTAAACATGTGGATATCACTGAAAGTACTAACTTCAGGTCCATAATAAAGTCAGCATGAATCCAGATATTATCCATTCCTCAAACTTACCAGTCCTTTGAATGAGATTAAAGGGGATTTAGGTAAAATGGCCTCATCAGCTACAATATCGCTTTCTCTTAGGCCTTACCAATTAAAAAAACAGGAGACACAGCCCCAAGATCCAGTTTTTGCTCCAGATAAAGTTTGCTTCAGTCTTGGGATCTTTTCTCTTCCTGAAAAACTTGTTTTCTCTTAGCTTTACAGAGACAAAAGCTTTGGGACATACCTGGCAGAAACTGGATCAACTGTTATGACCCATCCTTCATATTCATGTTTCTCGATTACAGTGACTTTCACCATTTTGTTCAGATACGTTTCCCAGTCTAGGGGGCTTTTCTTCTGCCAGTCATTCATATTTCCTACATCCATAACCTAGAAAACAGCCAGAGCAATTAGTAAAAACAGCAAATCCTTTTGCTTTGCCCTTCATGTCAGAACCGAGTTTGCCTGCAGTTAAACGTCTTCCATTCATCTTAAGCACCATTTGCCTTTTTCAAAAGGAAAAGTGGTTTGCATATCGCTGCAGTTGTGTAATTTCCCACTGAGTTCACTTTTTAAAGGCACACAGCAAACCCTGAAAAATCACTGTCCGGCTAACTTAACACCTTCCCCTTTCATTAAACATTCCATGTATTGCTCTGCCCGCCTACAAAACCTTCGGGATCCCTGTCCCTTCAGGGCAGATGTTCACAGCCTTTTGCTCTGTGTACTGGCACATCCCCAGTGTCCGAGCCCTCCCACTGCCCGAGGACGAGCGTTATCCTCCCGGATCCCGCCTCCATCCCTACGGTGCTCCACTCTTTTCCCGGTACCGGCTGCACTATTGGTATCGACAGCAGAGCCAGTCTCGGGCAGACTGAGCACGACTGTCCCAGCTTGGGGCCACACCAGCGACCGTCCCCATCCCAGCGCCCCTCCGCGAAGGGAGGAGAAAGGGCTGGAGGAGGCTCCTTCCTTTGCTCCCGCCCGCCCCTGCCGCAGGGCAAGGGGCTCTCCAGCGCCAGATT